CCATGAAGAGTACCTTTCCCCCTCCACGCTTGTAGCCCCCCCCCCCCCCGTGCACGCACATACAAGTGCAAACGCGTGATGTGTGCCAACGTGCAAAGACAACAATTGCCCCGCCCACGTTACATGTCACCGGAGCGCGATCATTCCCGGTAGACTTGCGATTCGTTCCGAATTACAGATATAACGAATCCGCATCTCCGTTAGCGGCGGTGCGTTAGAACGTGCGTTCCGTTTCTTTGCAGCGACGCGACATTAGAGAAGGAGAAAAAATGTTTTCCCCTCAATTGCTGCGAACGTTCCAACGCACCGCCGCTAACGCATTTCATCCGAATCGACTTTCACACCCGAATCCTGAAACACGAATCAGAACGAAACGGACTTTTTGTCAGCGCAGATTTCTGATCCCCGGCCCAGCGAATCCCTGATCAGCAGTGGAAGCTTGTGTCCCCCCTGGGAGATGCTGGGAGTTGTAGTTTTGCAGGTGAGCGATCGCTCCGGACAGGAAGGGGTTAACCAATGAGCCCCCCCCCCCCAATAAGCCACACCCACCAATGACATCATTGCCCTCCCCTCCATAATGAGCCTCAGAACAAGCATGCGGCCAGTGAAGTCTGAACTCTGCTCTGTTTACTCGCTGCACTGAAGCCTCAGGATCGGCATGACAGCCAGGCGCCTCCCTATAACTGTCCTCGTCTTCTCTGAGCTCCCCGGAGGAGGGAGCAATCTAGGACAACACTGACCTGCCCGGAGCTTGGCCAATCAGCTTGTACAGTTCCATTTCCTAAGCCGGAAGCTGATTCGTTGTCACGGGGGATGGTTTTAATATAATGAGCGTCCCCCCCAAAACCGTCATCTCCATCCTCAGGCGGCAGAGGTCACGTCGCAGGCAGCTCTGGGAGGAGCCACACCGAGACACTTTGCTCAGGTAACTCCGCCCGCAGCCATGTGATTGGGCGATATGAGAAGGGTGTGACGCTTGGCGTATCCCAGAGGGGGCGGTAATTATCTCCTATGTGGGCGTGTCCTGTAGAAGGCGGGGAGTTAATCCTAAGTGGGTGTGTCCCGGGGGCGGGGTCACACAGCGTGGCTTATATATCCGGCAGCGGGAGACGGCCCGGCGATGAACGGTCGGACGATGATGTCGGTACGGTCGGTGTTTGAGTTCTCGGGCCGGCTCCTGTCCGGGGAGTCGGTCAGCTTTGATCGGTATCGCGGGAAGATTCTTCTCATTGAGAATGTGGCGTCTCTCTGAGGGACAACCGAGCGGGACTACCGGCAACTCAACCAGCTGCAGAGCGACTATGAGGGCCGGCTGCAGGTCCTCGGCTTCCCCTGCAACCAGTTCGGACACCAGGTGAGACAGGTCGTCATACTGATCCCCTGGCTTCACCCCCGGACAGGTGGGCGGGTCATTGCTCACTTCCTGTATGACTTCGCTCAGAGACTTGGAGGTGATTGAAGCCAGAGGATCAACAAGACAGCCAGAGAGCTAGGAGAGGTCAGGCTGGAGGTCCATCAAACTCATCCTCGGGGAGCTGGAGTCCGGGGATGGATATGGGGGG